CTCCGCGACGATGTACTCGGACACCTGCGAGAGGGAAGAAGGGAAGGGCAGAGGGGGGTGAGGGGGGGGGAAGGGTGAGTGCGGGGTCCCGAGCGCGATGTGTGGTGGCTAGGTGGTGGTGGGGGTTGAAGAGGGGGGGGGGGAGGTCTGTGTGTGCAGGGAGAGGGGGCATGGCCGCGGAGAGGAGGGTGGGGGGGGGGGTCTCGACCTGCTCCCCCTGAGGCCCGTGGCCGTCGAAGACGCACGCGAGGAGCGCGGTCTCGTCGCCGGCGAAGGGCGTCACCACGCATCCTCGGTCCTGGTTGATCTCAGTGTGCTTGCCCTTGCTGTCCCACTTGGAGCCGTGCGAGGTGATCGAGCCGATCGCCGCCGTCTCCGCCGCGTCGGGCAGCGAGCGCGACACGCCGCGAGGAGCAAGGGCCCAGCTGCCGGAGATCTCCTCCGAGCGGTAAAAGCGCGCCCCGATCGGCGCATCCACTCCGGCGGAGGTACCCTCAGCCCCGTTTGACGCCGCTGCCTGAGGGCCACTGCGGGCAGCCGCCGCCTCGAGCGCCGCAAGCCCCTCGGCGCTGGGCGCGGCGTGCTGCGGCGGCGCCGGCTGCGTTCGGCGCGGCGCAAAGTCGCGGCCGATCGGCGGAGAGGGCTTGCTCTTGCTCTGCCCCGTGAGCGCGTAGAGGAGGTCCCAGGCCATGGTTGACGCTGGCGCCTGTCTCGGGCAGGTGGCAAAGGCGTCACGGCAATCTCTCCGCCACCACGCTCTTCTCTGAGTGTGCACATCATGGGAATCGCCCGCCGAGAACGCGTGAGAACGCATGCCGGACGTTGAGGTGTGAGGTGAGGAGTGACGAGATGTGCGGGCAGAAGTGAACGGCGGCTCGGACGGCGATGCTCGAGAGTGAAGAGGCGGGATAGGCGACGGAGCGGGCCTGCACGCCCCTGCACGCCTTCGAATCTAGGTCACCCCGACCGAATTCCACAAATGGGACATCAGCGGGCACAAAACAAAACGATCGCGCCGGTTCATAATTGCACTCCAAGTGCTCCAAGTGCTCCGACCCTGGATGTGAGGTTGCCGACTGCACTCCAAGTGCTCCAAGTGGAGCTCGGCTAGGGTTGCGCAGCTATGAACAGGAGCGAGTTCGCGCTGCGCTAGGCTCAGACGGCGAGTTCGCGCTGCGCTAGGCTCAGTAAGGCAGGCGGCGGCGTCGTCACAGAACGAGGCAGAGGAGAGCGATTGAGGAAGAGGACGACGGGGCAGGAGAGAGAACGACGAGAGTGGGATGACCGCGAGGTGGCATGAAGGTTGCTGCGAGAATCGGCGTACGGCGAGGGACTGCGAAGAAAGAGAGATAGCAAGAAAGGGATAGGCAGAAGCTCAAGGGTGGGCAACGGCTAGCCAAACACATTCCTTCCCGTAAAATCCCTGTGTGGTGGCGGCGTGCCATCCTCCCAACCCTCTTTGGCTTGTCTGTTTTGTTTCTTAGAATTCTTTTTCCTTCGCGGCAACGCGATGGCGGCAAGGCCTCTTTGCGCGCCCGCCCTCGTCACGCCGAAGACCAACCGGCGTCGGACCGCGGTGAGACCACGCCGCCCCCCGCGCCCGCCCGCGCCCGCAGCGTGAACACATACGCGCGTCCCTCATCGCACGGAAACATACGCGCCAGCCGCGCAGCAGCCTCACATGCAGCGCCGACCGCATGCTCGCGCCCTGGGCCGCCGACGACCCGGTCGGGCGGGTTGCGTGGCCGCCGCACACCACCAGGCAGGCGCACAACCACCCGCAGCGCGCCGCAGCCCACCGCGCAGCCCTGCCAGCCAGGCCTGCGCCTCAAAGACTCACAAACAGGCGCACAGCAGAGTGCAGCACACAGCACACACCGGCGGCGCGCGCGCAGCACACGCAGACGCACGCGCGGATCCAACACGCACACGCGCACAGCACGCGCGCGCCGCACGCCAGCGCAGCGCCACACACAGAGCACACTTCCCATCAGCAGCAGCAGGCCTGCCGCAATCCACATCTCACACATGCGCGCGCACACTCCCCCCTACCGGCGCACGCATTGGGCGTCGCCGTGAGCAACCAAGCATTCCCAAAGCTGACTTGT